TTAAAAAAAATGAAACGTAGGGACGTTTGTCTCACTAACTATCAAACGTAGGGATGTTTTGTGCTAATAAGCCTTTCATACTTTAAGATTACGTTTTCACAAATATTAAAGTTTAAGAAATATATATATGTTGCTTTCTTTAGGTTTTTGTTATAGATGAAGTTGGTTAGCTTATTCCCGTAAAGCCTGAGAGCTGAGAGAGCGTCGGTTGGGTTGCTTGGATTCAGTCTTACCCGTGTCATATGATCTACAGTGATATTATACTTCATTTTTATTTTTTTATATTATGTATTCGTTTTTAGGTTTGTTTAGAGGGTCTGATAGTTCTAGTCATAGACATATTAACTTATCAAACAATTTTCAAAATGATGAGGAAATTGATCAAAATTCTGAGATGTCTTTGAATAATTTTAATTCAAATGAAATTCAAATTGCTCAAATTAAACAAAGACTTCATAACTGGATTATTCCAAAGGTAAATAAAAATGCTATCTATGAAATAGGAAAATTTGATTTCACTCAAAATTATGTTATCAAAACTTTTGAACAAACCCTTGCAATCAAAAATCAAAATAATGAGATCACTCTACATTCAAAAGAATCTATTCAAGAACTATTGATATCAAAAACCTTCAAACTAAAAACAATTATACCAAAATCGTTTTTCATTCTATGCGTTCTCAATTATCTAGAATTGAATCAAATTCCGAGACTAAGAATAGTATTCCTTGCGATTCCATGACTGCTTATCACGATGTCAAAAAATCTAAAATTGAAGGAGAAAACCCCTTCTTTTCAAACCCATTGAGTCAAATCTTTCTTCTAAATTAGGAAAAAAATTGTTTTCTTCCGATTCTCAAGTTCTGGAAGAACTTACAAAACAATTTTCAAAACTCAATGCTTCTAAAAACGTTAATACAATTGATGATTTTGAGAATCTCGAAAATCAATTTATTAAAGAAGAACCGCTTCAAATCAACAAATTAGAAAAATTTTCAAAACTTCCAACATATTACCCCGACCTTCTCACCCTGATTTACTCTTAGAAGAAAGCTCTTTTAGGAGAAAAGTCGCTGAAACTTATTTCGGTGATGAAGTTTTTGAATGGAATATTGATGGAATGACTAAGTTTCAAATTATTCAAACTATGGAAAAAATGTATGTCTGTATGTTCGCCTATTCAAGCAGAAATCTTGACGGATATGCTGCTTGTACTAATCTCATTGTTGGCTTTATTGGTCAATTAAGAGGTTGGTGGAGTAATTATCTTTTAGAAGATAACAGACAAGAAATACTTCAAGCAACGAAAATTGATAATAATAATGTTGTTAGCGATAGTTTTGCTACTCTCTTTCTCACTATTATCAAACATTTTGTTGGAACTCCTACCGAACATCACTTGCCCTCAACCGCATGACTTTAGATGGTATAAGGACATTTTCCTTTCCAAAGTTATGCTTCGTGAAGACTGAAACAATGAATTTTGAAAAGAAATATTTATTTCTGGACTTCTAAAGCTTTTTGCAGAAAAGGTTCGAAATTCTATCAAAATTCAAAACAATGATTCTATTCCTTATCATAGTCTCAGTTTTGGGGAGATTATAAGTTATATCATAAAGATGGACTTGCTCTTTGCAACGATTTCAAGCTCAAAGCTAAACTCAAATCTGAAAGAT